TCCCCATCTCCTTCCCCCCCCTCCCCCTTCCTCCCTCTCTCTCCCTTGTGTCCCTCTTTTGCCCTCCCCTTCCCCTCCACATAGAATTGTAGCAGAGTAGGTCAATTGACAATACCCACTCCCTCTACTGTTGCAGAGGAGACTTAGTCTGGTTCTTTGTTGATGAAACTAGTTCAAATAATGAAATTCTTTTCTTTTTTCAGTCTGTTTTTTTTTTTTTTTCTGGTAATGAAACTGAACATGGCGTGTTATCGAAACTACGGTGTGTCCCTTGTGCGGACCAACCTGTCCTGCTTCATGCCTCAGGTAGGAAGACTGGGGGAGGAAGTGGACGGCACCCGGTACTGGGCAACAGGCGTTCAAGTGAGTCCAGTGCTGCGTCGGGTGAGGGAGGGGGAGGCAGACATGGAGGACGTCCTGCCTCCCTGGCTGAGTTGCGGGCTGCTCGAGCCTCTGCTGCTGAGAGTCGAATGAAAAACGGAGGAATGGGCGGGAGGAGCGTTGGCGCTGCCAGCCTGACACCATTGGGCTGTGCAATAGTAGTCTGTAGAAAGGTGAAAATCCAGACTCTCCCCTCCTTTCCCCCCTTTATCATTAGCAAATTGGAAATGCCTAATGATTCTCGGCACCATGATTGTGATGCTTGAGCCATTTCTCTACCCAAAGTGCTCCACAGTGCATGCTATTTCGCGCTAGGTTATCACGAATCTGGTCGGTATCTGTGACTCGTTCCTCTGCTGCTTCATGTGAATGTGGAGTCGGAATCAACTCTTCTTCTTTCTTCTTTCTTCTTCTTCTTCTTCTTCTTCTTCTTCTTCTTCTTCTTCTTCTTCTTCGTTGTCTTCTTCTTCTCTTTTAAAAGAAGATGGTAGTTACTGAATTTATTGTAACCATCTGATTCCAGTTGGATTGGAACTCATGACCTGTTGATTAGCAGTTGACATGTGTGCAGTGTGCACCCATAACTTCACACGCAATTCTCAGAAGTCATACTTGCAGTGATTGCTGCTACAGTGGGATTGGCGGCTTTGCCGCTTTCCTCTTTTTGTATTTCGGCTAATCCTCTCTGTATCATTTCAGGTTTGACAGATGTTTTCTCTCTCTCTCTCAGTGGTGCTCTTCCTTTGCGTTTTTGGTGTGTTTTTTTTTGTCTTTCTTGCATTCTTTTTTGTTGGCTGATCTTCTCTGTAGGGTTTCCGTTTTGACGGATGTCTTTGTCTCTTGGTGTTGCTTTCCTTTGTTGGAAAAAGATAGTAGCTTCAAAGCGACTTCAACTAAGGCATTTTTGTGCATGTTATCGTTCAGGTTGATGGGCTTGAAGATGACGCCACCAAGTTGATTGCATGCGTGAAGGACAAGGGTTTCATGGATGATAAGATGAAGAAGGTAAACTTTCTTCTTTTTTTTTTCCGCTCCGAGCTTAAAATAAAGAGGGTAAACATGATACCTTTCCCGGCCTTTTGGCTAAGATCAAGTGTAGTATCTGTTCTGATCAGTTTAATAGCTGATCTGTGGCCCATTGGGTCACACGATATTAAATTAATTTTTCAGGGCTACGGAGGGGCCATAAGGGCAGGCTTGCCTGCTCGGTCCCTTCAGTGTTGCCTTCGTATTGCACAGCAGCGAAGCGTAGCACGGCCCATCCCCCATACGGGGGAATAAAAAACAGAGAGGGTAAACAAATACTAAACATGGTCCTGCGGGACATCCGTTAAAATTGGAAACGATACAGAGAAGATTAGCATGGCCCCTGCGTAAGGATGACACGCATAAATCGAGAAATGCTCCACAGAAAAAGAAGGCAAACCTGCATTCTGTTTTGCTCATAGCTTGGGGACGTCTGTGAGAATTTTGGAACAATGCAGTGAAGATTAGCATCGTCACTGCCCAAGCATGACACACAGAAATGGAGAGATGGTCGAAGTAGTTAAAAAGAAGGTGCAATCAGACTCAACTCTGGACTTGTTTGCAACATGCACACCTGAGAACCATTGGCAAAACCGAACTCTTTCGACTCAGAACCAACAACGAACTTGCACTTAAACTCTGTCCAATACAAGTGCACAACACGCGGCTATGGCCGCTGAACACTGTCTCAACCACCAGCCTCACTTTCCCTTGTGCACGCACGTACGAGGATCAGCCTGAATGCCCACGCTATACAGCCTCACACACTGTGTACACTCTGTCTACACCAACAGCTGGACGGCTATGGCCGCCGTCGTCTTCCTCCTCCGAGCTATGGCCGCCGGTGTCTCCCTCGCTGGTTTGCTGTGGCCGCTGTCTTCTTCACAGCCCACTTCTTCTCCGGGCACCTGCAGACCTCCACACACAAGATACCAAGGCAGCTCTTCCGCATGGCACACAGGCGAATGAATGAATGGCTGGACGCTGCCTCTTTCTTTATACTTCTTCGGAGGTACCCGGGCCTGCCTCAAAACGTGTGGGCCTGGGCCAAAACGTGTGGCCCAGGGAAGCGTCCAGACGTTTGGCCCTCTGGCCAAAACGTGTGGAACCCACAACGTGGTCGATAGAGACTTCTAGAACAGACCTTCGTAAGCCTAACGGTTACAGACCTAACTCTTAATCTACAGACCTAGGGATCGAGTCTCACACAGATCGCTGGGCCTATGTACAGGGTACAGGATAGGTCTAGGGATCGAATCGCACTCAGCACACAGGGTGAATGTACAAGGTACAGGGTAGGGCTAGCGATCGAATCTCATTCAGCACACAGGGTCAGTGTACAGGGTTTGGGCACAGGTCGAGGGATTGAATCTCTGTGTCTGCAAATGTCGGGTCTACCGGGTGTGCAATGAGCCCAGACGTGATGACACTCGTCAACATTACCAGTCCATATGATTATCGATCTGCTGATGAATGACAAACAACCGCAAATGTGTGCGATGATAGAATGAGGTGAGAATCATACACAGACGAAGGAGGAGAGAGGGAGAATAGACAAAGGAGAGAGAAGAAGACAACAGCCCACTTCTACTTCGGGTTCCTCCTCYTCCTCGCCACCTCATCAATCAGTAGACTGAATACAATGTCTGAAGTTCTTCCTCAAGGTGCCACGTGGCACGTCAATCTGTCTACATCAGCAAAT